CATGACTCAGCCCTGAAAACACCTTGGGGTGGGGGGGGGGCATCTTTGTTAATGGGCTATTAAGGTYTYTGGGAATGACTCCTGGAATTCCATCATCCCATTGGGAGATGCCCTGCCCAGAGAGGAKGAACTGGACATCCCTACTGGCATGTAAGCTGAGGCTCTGGAACACTGGGACACTTGTTCACTGGATWCCCAGAGGAGAGGAGCTCGAGAATCACCACTGGACCTKCAGAGATGGACTCGACCTGTCTGCAGGATCACCACTTCGACCAGAGCACATCCATCACTCCAACAGGACTGCAGCCACCACCCTGCATAACAGGGTATCAGGTTGGATTCTGACTCTTGTCAGTTTAAGCTGTTGGTTCTGTATTATTGCCTTTCATTTTTTTTATTAAATTGTAGTTCTGACTTAGATTCTCTTGTAACATATTTATGTGGCRGTAATTACCCCACTGGTTTGTTTCTCAAACTAGCACAATGTATTTCATCTCTAATCATAACTTTTTAGTTTTGAAACTATYGGTGCTGTGCTTGTGCACTGAAAATGCTGAGATGGGATTTTCTCACAGAAAAAAAAGAAAACCTCAAGAGAGAAACCTGAATGTGAGCACACATGTCTGTGCAGGTCTGTCTGATCCAGAGAGAAGTCACAGTCTGGTACCATGGAGAAAACACTGTTAGATTTGGCTGCAGGAACCAATACCTGTGTCCTGGGAAGMACTTCAGGGTCAGCTGAGATCCTGCCCAGGATTTCACAAAGGACAATGCCAAAGGAAAACACATCCACCTGCAGAAGGGGTGGGAGAGCGGAAGGTGAGACAGGGCCCTGAACATGCACAGAAACAAAGAATGAGAATGGGGAGTACCAATGACAAGGYCCTTTATTACTTAAGCAAAAGTCCRTTGAGAAACTCATTRGAGWTGGAGGCAGCAAACCTCMAAWTTTYTTCTGGGGTTCTAAATCCACCCAGAAACACCATAATCCCACCTGGAGTCCATTCTGATTTTCAGAAAGCCTGGCCCTGTGCTCTTATTCAATGTGTTTGGTGGCTTCTACCACAGCTCTGGCACAAACCCCCCCAGACCCTGCAACAGATTCATTGGTGTGTAACTCATTAGACACCTTCCTCAGAGAGGTTTCACTGTGCTTGCCCACAGCAGCAATCCCTTTCCCTAGAAGTTTAACTTAACATGGCCACATAAAGAACTTTCAAGTTGCTAAGCAGAGCATTACAGAGCAAAGGTCCAGGGAGCAGGATGTTTCCTGGGAAGGAGGGGAGGGATTTTCTGCTGTTGAGCCATGTCACCAGMAAGCACAGGACACATCTCCCATGCTAGCTCAGTAGATCTGAGGATGAATGGGGATCTGGGAAGCAGTGCCATACCTTCCAGTCATAGGGCTCCCCCCGCAGCATCTCAGGAGCCATCCAGAAAGCAGAGCCCACCAGAGACAATTTCCTCTCCACATCTTTCACAGGCAGCTCCACCACCTCCCTGGCCAGCCCAAAGTCAGTCACCAGTGCCTCGCGGCCCTGCGGCGTCACTCGAATGAGGCAGTTCTGAAAGGGCATGGCATGAGACACCAGTGAGGAAACACCTGCAYATTTCACCCAGCAGCACCTTGCTGGCTCTGAGCCCTGCCCTCCCCCACCCATCACCAGCACAGGCTGTCCCCTCACCAGGATGTGCATCCTGGCAGCACACACTGAGTATTGGGGCAGATTAGGGATGAGCTGATCACACAAGAAGCCAGGAATAATGCTTCGAAGGTCTTCAACAAACATGGTGATCTCCATCCTATTCTGAAGCAGACTTTTGAAACACATACTTAAACCTTGTTCACTGTCCAGCCAAAGGAGGGCACAGCCACAGTCCYTCTCACTGCCCACAGACACACACCCTTAACATGGCTTTCTGRAGGAAGCCCTATAAAATTGTCATAAGATTTCTCTGAAAACCCCAGCAATTTCAGCSTGTTCAGTTGCCCAGGATTTCCTCCTCAGCAGCTTCTCCGAGGGAACCAGCAGAAATGACTGGCATCTCTCCAGATGGCTCATATTAGCAACCTGATTTCAAGGGAACAGGTACATACTTTTCTTCTCTACTTTCAGCCATCACCAATGCAGGTTCCATGGGTTTCCCTAGGCAAGGATAAACCTTTTCCAGGGTGCAGCCACTGCAGTGAGACAGTGGGAAAGGCAGGGACCTCTAGCATTTTTCACAAGCAGATCTGGAAAGCCCCCAATCTCACTGGTCACCACCAAATAGGAGATTACATCTCACCTTACTTCAGAGCACATTGGCCAAAATTTGTGATCAGAATGAGCCACAAGATCATGCCTTGTCCTTGCCTGGCGTTAGTGATTTCATGGTTGATAACTGAACCAAGGAAACTGCATGAAGTTACAAAGGCGAGTTTCACCCCTGTGCTGACATCTCTCAAAGCTGTGATGTCTGACTGACTTCCCCACTGCCCAGCTTCATCAAYAGTTCAAGTTTCTCCTAAAAAGCTCACAGAGCATCAATGAAAATAGCTTGACAGAGATATAACACTACCTATCCAGCCTCAAATGCAAGTATCTACAGGCTCCATATCCACGAATCACCAAACCAGCCTCTGGCATCAGCTGACACAGATGTCACAGATGTCACAAAATCAATTAGGCTGGAAAAAACCTCTGAGATCATTGAKTCCAACMTATGACCAGAACCACCATGTCAACTAGATCATGGCACAAAATGCCATGTCCAGTTTGTCCTTTGTYATCTCTAGAGATGYTGACTYCACCACCTCYCTGGGTAGCCCATTCTAAAACCTTGTTTGTCAAGAATTTCTTCCTAAYGTTCAAYCTAAACYTTTCCTGGCACAGCTTGTCCTCTTGTCCTGTCCCTAGCTGCCTGGGAGAAGAGTCCAACCCCCACCTGGCTACAACTTTCTTTCAGGTACTGTAGAGGTTTATARGGACTCCTCTTGTCCAGGCTGAATGGTCCAGTCTGGTGGACCTCCCAGCTCCTATTCCCTGCCATATCATAGACATGCTGCAGATCCACCTGAAATTTGAATAGTTTTGTCCAAGAGATATCGACAAGGCACTGTGCCACCACATTCCTAGTGCCAGAGCAGTGGCAGAGAAAGAACCACATCGAAACCTGTCCTCACAGACAGACCTAGGAATGCCAAAGCCTCAGTGCTGCTCTGGCCCTTGTTGAGCATCATGAGCCCTTCAGCCAGAGGCCAATGCATTAGGAACATAATGTGCCTTTGCATTACAACCAAAGCCTGGCTCCAGGTGCCAGTCTTCACYGCTGTCAGGTGAAAACCATGCGAGTAACCTTTCTAAAACTGGTGATCAGGACCCTCTGGATAAATGAAGATTGATTTCCCTATACTTTTGTGAGGAGACACTCATCTCTTGARGTCTGCTGTCCTCTGCACACAGACAGGGACCATCTCACATGGCACTGACTCCCAGAGCCCATGACCAACTCCTGCTGGGAACAGCTTCCTCCTTGTGTGAGTAGAAAAGGAAATCTCTAAATCCAGCAGAGTTTTCCTGCAAAAAAAAACCCTCTAGGTGAAGTTCTACGCATATGGTTCCATATGGTTTCTTTTCCGGTAGCAAGAGCACTAGGAGGGATGTATTTTTATATCTATAYAGTCTCCTGCTTGGCAAGTGATGAATGCAATGTAATGAAAGGTTTTATTAAGAAAGCTTCCTTGACTACAGAGGGATGAGCATGAAGCAGAGGAGCAGCATGAGGCATGAGGTACCCTGGTTACAGCCCTACAGGGTCTCAGTACTGTCTCCTACCCCACTGCCTTCAGCAGTGACAGCCTATTTCCAGYTGCATACCTTGGAGTTGAGATCTCGGTGGTAGATGTTCTTGGAGTGCAGGTAGATCATGCCTCTGGTGATGTCAGAAGCCAAGTCCACTTTTTCCTTCCATGTCAAAGCAATGTCTTTGCTGGCTAGGAGCTCCTCCAGGCAACCACCATTCACGTACTGTGAGCAGACAAAAAGTGGCTGGGCACAGACTGTCCTGGTGCCTCCCCAGGAGCTGAGCCTTCACTTGCCAATCCAGAGCCCTTGATTGGGATGGAGGTTTGGAATGTCACCGCACTGGGGCCCTGGTGTGTGGTTTGRTACCAATACCCATCCTGGCACAAGAGATCTCTGCCAGGGTCTGGGTCCTGCTCCATTACATGGAGGCTGTATAAGCCAGCCATCTTCCTCAATCACAGTGAACTAGAGGGAAAGGGTGTGGTTTAATGAAAATCTTCTACCCTTGACAGCATAGAACAAGGTGAGACCTTGCTAGTCYGGATGAGCCCAGCTTTCCCAATAGACCACACAACTATTCCACAGCCACTTTGGAGGTCCTGCCAGGCTCTGACTGMTTTGCCTTCTACTTCCTGCCTTCCAATCCCTCCTACTCCCTGGCTCCAGTTGGCTGTTTTGGTTTGAAAGACAGGTGCTTGCCAATGAAGGCAGGGACTCCCCTTGGAGTGGTGCATATGACCCACTTCCTCCCCCCCCCTTCCCTCCGAATTATTACAGATTTGAAAATCATGGACTTTCAGGCAAGAATATGGGTAAAAGGGAACAACAGTTTTTACTAATATGTATAACAAGGTGAAACAAGTAACAACGATAGCAACAACCAACCCAGCCACAAACCCAATAACAGCCTCACACAGAGATACACTCTCTCCTTTGGTATAGTTATGGTCCCAGTTGGCAGGGGGCCCTATGGCCCGGGTCCCGGCTGGTTCAGCTCTCCCAGTGGCCAATGGTAGACACAAACTGGTAGAGATGGATGGAGAAAAAGTTCCTCTGCAAACACACAGTGGAAAATGCCGATCTCGGTGCTCCTCTGGACAGCAAGAAACCCCAGAATGGCCAGATGAGCAAAGAGACGAGAAGAATCCTGCGGCTGCAGACGGGATGCAGCAGAACTCAACCACTGCAGCTGGAATCTCAGGGGTCCCTGGCAAGGCACGGTGGGGCAGAAGATCACAGTGCAGCAAACAGGAGCCAACGACTGGAGATGCTGGGCTCTGAGCAGCAGCAGGCGAGCTCTCCCCCGCAGGCAGCAGGTCCACCGTCCTCCTCCGAGCCAAGCAGGGCAAGAAGTGAAGCTACCCCCGGCTCCACACACACACACACCCTCCCCCAGCCCAAAACTCCTGCGAGAACTTCCCTCTCTCTAAAGCGAGGGATAAAAAAGAACCTGCCAGGCAGGAGCAGTGTCCAGGGAGATCCTTTGGGTGACACGTAGGTTCTACCATCTTCACCAATCGCCCAGCCATCAAAAGGATGAGCTTCTGGCAATCAGTGTATCCAAGCAACAAAATGGGAAGGAAAAATTTCCCAAGAAAGGAGACAAAAGGAGAAACCTTAACCCACAACACTGGCCCAATCTGGCCCTTTGGTGGTACCAAGCCAACCTGCAATACACTCTGGTCTGAATCTCATTCCTTACAGTGATTATGCCCCACTCCAGCTGTGGGGCAGAAAGGACCAGAAGCTCCTCCAATGCAATCTTGCTAGTCCAGAGCCATTCACAGGAGCATGAGTCAGACAGACATAGATACGCATTACAGGTCATCCACTATCCCCACTGCCAAAGATCTACAGCATCCTTGCCTGCCCACAGTACATTTACAGGCAAGAAAACTTTACCTCCAAAATGGGGTACAGCTTGTCATCCTTCACACATATCCCAAGGTACCTAAGCAGAAGAACACATTAAAAAAAAAGAAGCCATCAAGGTTCAGCTCAACCACTCATTGTGGAACTGCCTTGCAGATAYGAGGCCAGCTCCAGCCCCTGTCAGTGCCCAGGGCTCTTGGTCACATGATGTGCCCACCTGACAATGTTGGGGTGGGTTAGCTTCTGCAATAGGCTGATCTCACGCACGATCACCTCTTGGTCCACGTCATTCTTGTAGATCTTCACCRCCATCACCTTACAGGCAGCAGCCTGGGTCACCTGAAGCCAAGGTAGGAGCAGGACATCTCTTAACTTCCAGAGGTCAGCCAAACCTTCTGCACAGCAGCATCCCATCCCAACCAGAGGCTTGAATCTCATTCCCAGCTGGTCAGGGATTGCACACTCACTTTCATAAGTGCAAAGTGCTGYTTCTTCCAAATAAGCTCCTCTCTGSTGATGCCTGCCTCAGTGGYTGAAAYAGCTAAGTCCCTCCTATCCCAGGATATCACAACACTGTTTCTCTGCCAAAACTTGTGTGTTYCTTGAGCTGGAACATATTGAGTTACCACAGAGCTGACTTTTCCCAGCTGCAGCCTATCCAACATCTCCATCCCTCCTTCCTACCTGGGTCTGCTCACTGCACAAGACTCCTGATCACATTCCTGTACCCCTGCCCACAGCCAGCTCCCCTCCACCCCTGCAACACAGACACAACCAAGAAAGTGAAGGGTCAGTTCATCTCATGCTGACCTGAAACTCTGTGGTGGAATACCCACACACATGGTGCTCCTAGGGCTTCCCCCAGGCAGAGATACTGGAGGTAAAGGACAAAAACCAAAATGTTTTCATCACATTTTGACACCAAACACATTGAGCAGGTATTTTTAGGAAGAGATTTTCTGCCCTCCAGGGAGGTGCCAGAGCTGGCCAGTGATGAATACAGAGGGTTCATGGAGGGGCTCCCTAGCTTTCAGCCAACAGGATCTTCCAGGGCCCTGCACTGCAGCTCATGTTATGTGTGTTGATAGTTCAGATCATCACACAGGTCACTGTTGTACTTTAATATTTCTATCCATATCTGTTTTGAGAAGACTCATGTACCAGGTGTAGCCCACACTTAACGGCCTGACACCTCCTCCAGGACTAGCAGAAAATCCAGCCATGTGTTTAATTTCTCTGATTTTGAGATTTGTGAGGATTTGTAGGGTTTTTTTTAAAGGGAAAAATTAGTTTTGATGCAGTATGAGCTGACTTAAGAGCAGCACTCTTAAGATAAGCCCCARGTGTCACCCATTGCTCCCTGTGACGGGTCTTGGGAGTGATATCAACTATTGTGTCTTTTCTGAAGGAACACAACCTGATAGTCAATGTTTTCACTGGAATAACTCTGCCTCTATTCGAGTAGGTCATGAGGAAGCCAGGGCTCTGACTCCCTCAATTGATGGGACATTTACCACAGACTGTGGGTCACTGATCAGGTGGGATTGATCATTAATTGTAATTGCACAGATGTAAATACAGGAGATGCTGTCATTTCCGCGTGTCCACAGAATGTGAGTGCCCACATGAGTACAATGAGCAGTTAAAATCTGCAGGAGCTGAAAAGCTTTCTGATGAGCCAATACTGAATTTCAGTGAGGCCTACTGGCTTTGTCCAAASTCTGGTGAGGGACACTGAGCCACACTGAGCTTCTCTGAGAGGCWGCCATGTCCCAGCTGGACACCAGCAGAACTCACAAACACTGCCTGAGCGGTGAATCAGTGAGGACTGGGGGGTGGTTCCTGTCTGCAGGGCAATGCGAAGTCCAGCTTAGTATAGAGAAGAAATGCCTAAATGGCAAGAATAGACCAAAGCCCTAAAAAATGTAATGGGACACATGGACAACTGTAGTGGACTCAGAGGCCTCTTCCAAGACCACAGGCCCTAAAACTTTGCCCTTGACAACTTGGAGCAGCTCTTGGTCCACACAGAGTGTCCAGCTTTGTAAAGATCAGGAAAGTCCAGAGTGGCCTCTAAKGTACTCACATTTCATGCTAAGAAGGGATGACAGCTGAAGACTTCACGTCAGCCTTGAGAGGATAATAAAGGTGAAAATCTGACACTGGAAAATTGCAGAAGGACAGGGAGTGAGACTGTGCTTCCTAATGTGTGCAAAGCATTGGACAATTAAACCAGCCTTGAAAAAAAGTCACACTGCACTTCTCTCCTGCTTTGAGCATCTCAGACCCTAGTATATGAGAGCAGCCAATGGAAAGAGATTTATGCTTTCCTTGTGGGAAACTCATACTTGGGTATTTCCTTACTGCACATCCACAAACTAATGCAGAGAAAGACRGAAAGTACTCTGTACCCAGGTCATRSRAYACACAACCCACAGACTAACAGCCTGTGCCCAGATCTCTCAAGTCTGTGTCACCAAGTGGAACCAAGTGAATGCTCCTTCCTCAGCCAAGTAACAATTCCCAAGAATGGGCTTAGCCAAAGGACAAAGGGTGGCAAAGGCAGCAGGCAAACAGCACGGCACTGCCAGCAAGGGAGGCTGTGTTGCTGTTGTGGTAGCCCTTTGGAAGGGCATCTTTTGGCAAAGAGCTCCAAAGGACTATTGGCAGTGATGTTTCTCAACAGGAGAGCTCCTGTCCAGGGCTGCGAGTCCACAGGGCATTGGTTGACCAAGAGCACCACAAGTCATCCGGTCACTTGGCTACAGTCACGCTCAAGTCCCCAGACAAATGTCAAGTCCTCACAAAGGACTGTCTTTGTTCCAAGTGCTCCTCCACAGTTCTGAACATTTGACCCATGGCATTTCATTCAAACAAAGAGTCAGCTCAAAGAGTCAGTTTTGGTTGGATTTCTTTCCTAGATTTTTTTTTTTTCTGTTCTACTTCAAGAAGTTATTTCATTTTCATTCAAGATACATGTCTCCAGCCTGCCAGGGCAGGAGGAAAATGTCAAGCACAGAGGAAACAGCAACTGTTACTATGAAAATCTGCTAGCTAAAGGAAAGAGAAAATGATGGCACCAGTACTCTGCATAGGTGGGGAAGGCAATTACAGATGGAGGTTGTGATGAGGAGAGGTGGTTTGTCATATATTGCAGAGAGCTTCCATAGACCCATGAGATTACCTTGAACAGCATTAGAGCACTGTCTCTGGGCCTGAGGCTTACCCAAAAGCTCTATTACAGCACTGAGACCAGATGCTGAAGAGGACACAGTGCCTTCAGAAAGCAAAGTATTTGTATACCTGACTTGCATATTTTCTGCTGTTTCAAGGGCTGCCAGCCTGGTTCCAGTAGTTCCAGCTGGGCACATGTGCCTGTAGCAGGCAGGGATTTCACCCTGAATATGTCAAGCATCTTATGCTGAYCTTGAAGAAAGGTGCAGTCCTGATGGTTGTCATGGGACTGATCAAGCTGAAGAGCTCAAGGTATTGGTAGAATCAGGCCCATTTTCTTTCCACTGTGTCTGGATCACATTTTAACCAAGTCCATTGTGAGCAATCACATTCTAGAGAACTACTGGGAGGAGAGACAAAGTGGGCAAATTCARCCACACTGCAAAGTAACATGGCTCTCAGTGATGATGGCTGGGTCTCAGTTCCTAAAATGAAGCATCCCCTTTCCACTTTACTATTCACAGAGCAGTGATCACCAAGGGGTGCAGGCAAAGAGCCCCAAGTCCCCTCCACACCCCTCAAATAAGCAGTGGCACTGCCACGCTGGGGAGTAGGAGCTGAGGTGAGAGAAAAGCTAGCAGCACCCTGCTTGTGCTTGCTCAGAGAGGATTAAATGAACTCCCATACAAGTGGAGCTCAGCTCAAGGAGCGACTTAACAGGCTCAGTAAGAAAAGCACTGCTTTGGAGACACACTACCTGCATCATGCACTGGCTTGGAGGGAGTAACAGGTCTCCCACCATGAAAGTAGCAGAAGCAGAAGTGGCTGGACCAGCAGATTGTCCCAGCCTGACCCTGCCCCATGTCCTTGCTCTTCCCTGGCATCACCTTAACAGTGCAGCAGCCAGATCGTGTGACAGTACTGGCATCCCCACAGGAGGATGTGTGTGTGTGGCATGTATTCTGGGAGACACACAGAGCTTAACTTTATATTCTTTTTCTCTCTGTGTATTTTGCTGCTAAATTGCAGACAACGAAATCTGCACAGAGCATAAATATCCCCAAATCTCATTTAATGTCCAGTTTAATCTCCTGGCAAGCCTGTGTATAACTGGATGATCATATCAATGAACATTGACAGGTTGAGTCCTTCCCTCTGCTGTTTCACTATGAAAACATATGCATCTAAGGTAATGGGCTAGGGTATTTGGGGTGGGGGGAGGTGTCCTGTCCTCCCTTACCCCAACCCACATGCCAGAGTGAGCTGGGAAGCATGAAGATGAGGAAATGAACTTGAGGCAGGTTCCTCAGATAAGGCACCATCTACGGCATCAGCAGTTGCTCAGCTGTTCTCACACAGATCAGCATTACCTGCAGGTCAATTTTACCTTGTAGACCTCGGAGAAGAAGCCACTGCCTATGAGCTCAGTGTTGAAATTTTCCCAGAACTCCAGCTTCCTGACAGCCGTGCGCAGCCTCTGCCAGCGGTCCAGATGGCAGTAGCTGTCAGATGACTCCCCACAGTATTGAATGGGGTCAGAGGGCTCTGGGGAGATCAGATGGGCCTCACACATCCTGAGTGCAGCACCTGGAACACAGGGGATTCCACAGTGAGCCAACAGCAGCACTTGGATATCACATACCTGCACAAGAGACCAGGACTGGATGAAACCTCAGGAAGAGGGAGAAGAGATGAGACACCAAGTTGGTGTATTGGGACGCACCCTTGGGCTCTGTCTCCTAGGCAGGGCACCCTTCATAAGTCCTAAAGCTTAGTTCTGTCTAATACAGGTTGTATTTTGACTTCTTTAGACTAGGACTTAAAAGATGTTAAATTAGCATGCATTCATTTACAYGTTCTAAAGGTTTATCCTAGATAGGATACAAGAGTACAGCCCAGGAAAAGTCCAGATTCTACTGGTTTAAAGCTATCGTGCCTACTTTTGGCTTTTAGAATAGATCACATACCACATGCTAATGCTATATCTGTTATAGCAGGTCTTTAGACAGCACTTAGCTGCTCCTGCAGGCACCACATCATGGCTTGAGTGTCAGCAGGAAACACCCCCTCTTAAAGGGGTTCTCACCTGACAAGTTGTCAGAGAATCAAATATCATGGTTAATAGCTTAAACATTGTTATGAAGGGCTTTTGCCCATTATGGTAAAACTGTATAAAGAATCTGTGAGCCCATCCCTACCTGAATCTGCCCAGCTGGAACTTTGGACTTTGAGTTAAGCTGCCAAAAGGAACTTGAGATAAGATATAGATGACACTGTTGTTCAGTTATGTCAGGAAGAAGAATACAAGGCTGAGGAAGAAGAATGTACCCACAAGAAAGTGAAACCCAGCAAATGTCCTGAAAATCAGCTCTGGCTGGCTTTGGGGTGGGAGAGGACATAGCCCACAGGCTCATTCATCTGCTGAGGCCTGGTTTGCACACACTCCCCGCCCCAGCCAAGGCAGATGGAGGAGAGTTTTGGGTGTGTAGCAAAACCACTGCTCAGAGGCAGTGAAMACTCATCCTCCTTCACACAAACTGGCTCAGCTGTAAACCCTCCCCTCCACTCCAGGAAGACCACATCCACAGGACATTAAAGTGAGGGGCAGCTGAGGAGGTGTCATAATCCATCAAAGACCCCAAAGTGCTCCCCGGATTCATTCCAGATGACTGCACMTGATGCAAAGCGATGCAACTGATCCAGAGTCTGTTGCACAAAGCAATGTCAAACTTGCCTCCCACTCAGGGGAGGGACCTGGATGCTCCCACCTGGCCCAAATATTTATGAATCCATTGAACTCTGTGTTTTTCAGGGGATCCTCACCACCAAGAAAACCAGATAGAGAGGATCAATGGGACGCCATTGGAATCCAAAAAGTGGTGGTATCTTCTACCTAATCTGTCACTATCTTTCTCTCCTCCCACCTCTTTTCTATTTCTTTCTCTCTCTTTCTCSCTCTTTCTCTCTCTCTCATTTACTGTTAAACTAAATCCATACAATTGACTTTGGCATATGGTCTTGTTGGCACCTTAATTTGGGCAGAGGCATCTCTCTAAATCTCAAGGATCTGAACACAACACATGTGCCAACAGTTCATTACTCGCCTTGAAGAACCACAGAACAAAGAAATASCCCAGCAACTCTTCTCCTGTCCATCCAAAACTTGATTCCAAGGCTCAAGTGCCTCTGCTGAATTGTCTTCCTTTTACACTGTTCTGACCCTCATATATCCCTCTGTAGTCCCCTCCCTCCATTTTCCTTTCTGTCTTTTACAGCATCAGGCTCACCCTCCCCTATCCAAAATYATGTGCCTTCCTCTTTTCCTGCATSACTTGCCTCTAGTTACTTCCAAAAATGCAGGGAGGCAAATCCATTGGAAAATGGGTATCTGACAGCCTGAGTAAGGTAAATACTGCACCCACTTCTGGATTATTCCAAACAATCATTGATATGCTACAAAGCTCTCTGAGCACCTTCCATCTGCAGCACATGCCGATTCCTGGACACTCGCTGAACTGTTTTGACAGATGATAACCAGAGACAGTGGCCAATGAAGGATGATTCTTCAATACTTTCAGCTGGAGGAAAGGTAAGGTCTTTCCTCCTGAATTTTCTGTCCTAGGCCTTGCACTGTACAAGGAGCTGTATCAGCATTTCTTGTTCACAAAATTACAGACCTGGTGGAAGATACTTTTGAAATTAGCTCCAGCTCCTATCATAGGCAGGGACACCTTTCACTAGACCAGGTTGCTCCAGATCCTGTGCAACCTGGCCTTGAACTTTTCCAGGGACAGGGCAGCCACAGCTTCTCTGGACACCCTGTGCCTACGCCTCACTACCCTCATAGGGAAGGATTTGTTCCTAAYATCTAATCTAAGTCTCTCCTTTTTTAGTTTAAAGCTGTTCCACCTTGTCATATCACAATAATTCCCACATAAAAAGTCCCTCTTCTTCTTTTCTGTAAGGTCCCCTTAATCACTGCAAGGCTGCAAAGAGGTGTTCCCAGAGCCCTCTCTTCTCCAGGCTGCACACCCTTAGCTCCCTCCAGAGCAGAGCAGAGGGGCTCCAGACCATGGGCTCCTCAAAGCATCTTCATGGCCTCCTCTAGGCTCTAAGAGACCCAGATTTCTCTTGTCCTGAGAACCCAAGAGCTGGATTATTTCAGATCCCATGTATTATTTCATGGCTACTTTGCTTCTACAGAATGAGGCAAAATCTGCACTGAGACATGCATAAAATATTTGCACAAGTCAGCTCATCCAGCCAAGATCCAAAGAGAGACTTACCAAATGGGCACAGATACATGGCTGGAGGGTCAAGCAGGGCAGGAATTCAGGAAAAGCTGAGGGCCAGGACATGGGGCTGGGCAAGCAGCCAGTACTGAGTAAGACGGGGTGGGAGATGAAAATAGCAGGCAAGCTCCAGGCTGAGMCTCAGGCAGCTGCAACACTGGGAACACCAGCACACACCTCTGAAAGCTGCCACCAGAGGACAGTCCCACACACACAGCCCCAGCAAAATCAACATGACACATGTTCATGGGCTCCTGCTAGAGTGCAGGGCAAACACCTGCAGGCCCACAGTCTGAGCACTGCTCCTAAACAGAGGAGCCCATGGTGTGACTGGTGCAGGGCACTGATCAGCCAGGGCACATAAAAGAGATCACAGGGCAACCATTTTATCCCTGCTCTGACCCAGGGACAGGTAACTAAGGGACATCCCATGATAGGACAGCTGCAAGGACYTGCCTGGAGGTTTCTGCCTTGGGAAGGTCCTGCTGCTGACAGCCAGCACCACCTGAACCACTGCTGTGCCCAGCATCCTTCACCCAATCTGCACCCTGGCACCGTGCTGGCATGTGGGAAGGGGCTCGTGCAGCACAGAGGTCAGGACTCATGGCCACCACACCCCATGCTGGTAAAGCTGCCCTGCTTCAACCATGTCACCAATAACATGACGTTCCCACAGGGACAGTCCACCCAGATTCTGCAGAGAGCTCTCTGGTGTGCAACACACCCAGTTTTGCCAGGGATTGGGGCATGGAGTAGCAGGGCAAAGCACCAGCAGTCTGTGCCAGGGTGCAGTAAAGGGCCTCTACTGCCTAAGGCCATGCTCAGTGAGCAGGGCCAGAGAGCAGGCCAGAGACAGGAGTTGCTGCAGCTCTGGGACAAGCAGTGCTTCACTCTCAGCCAAACACAGAAGRGATCCTCCATATCATGCACAACTGGCCAGGACATCAGGGGATGGTGACAAAGTCTGAGGGATCCTGCTGACCCCAAGCTGCCAACAAAACACAAGAGAAGAAATGGCAAAGGGTCACCCTGAGCATCAAATCCATCTTTCAGAGGGCCTGCTTTTCAGAGGCCTCTCTGTTSAATGCTTTTCCCACATACCATCTCCTCCCGCCATGACCTAGTGCATCAATTGCCTCTTTGTCCAGTAAAGAATCCCCGCAGCATCCTCAGCATGCCAGAACTGCCCCACACATCACACATTATGCCACTGATGGGAATCAAGTATTTATTTTCTTCTTACAMATGCAGCTGTTTGTCCCCAGATTAGTTCTGACATGCAGGTGGGGGGGAAGAAAAGAGGGTAGAAGGATGGGGGGCCAGAAGGGCAGTCTTGTGGGACAGCACACAGGCAGGGCACATTCTGATGTCACCAGAACAGTTCAGGGCACCCAAAGCCCTGCTTTAATCTGAGCCCATAACCTGAGTGCTCCCAGTTCCAATTCAACCCATGAATTGGAGAGATTGGAGAGACCAGGCTTGGCCAAAGGAGGAGATCCATCACCTCCAAGGCTCCCCTGCCCACAGAGAGAAGAGAGACAGACCCACTGGCTTCCACTACACTCTGGGGACATTGTCTGTGTCCCCACACTTTCAGCTGCAACCCAGTGAGAGGAAGGTCCGTCCATACACAGCACACAACACCCACCTCCCCAATCCCCAGGGCAAAGAGACCAAGGGAGCAGCTCATGGGCAACYATGAAATGTTCAGATACTGGGAGCTGTCTCTGCAGGGAACCCTGTCCTTGACAGATGAAAACTATGGAATTAGCATGAATTGGCATGGAATTTAGAACAACAGCCTTGTGGCATCCACTTCCTCTGGGCTCCCCCCCCAGCAGACACCTGAGAGGCAGCCACATGCACAGGGAAGGGTTTGGCTACCCAGTTGGGTTCATTGGGGCTGCCTATGCTTGCCCCATACCATGGGCTTGGTAAGGCTGCCCAACGTGCCCAGGATTGACCCCCTGTGCACGCACACCAAAAGCATGGCACTGCCCACACTGCCATGGCTGGCTCCAGCCCAYAGAAGGGCCTGACAGAAGCAGCAGMCATTGGGGTTTATTCCCTCTGCAGAACCTGTGGCTCATGCATAACCCACCATCCACCTGCCACAGCAGCTCTCACAAACTCACACACAGCCAGACACAACACTGAGCATCTGTGCAGGCTCTGCTGCAAGGGTGTAAACCCCAGGCTTCTCCAACCCTCTTACAGAAAGTGATTTTTTTCTGAAATAAAGAGAGAACAGACTCTTCCTCCCCTCACTCACTGGAGAGACAACCTGTCTCCCCT